AAAAATATTAAAACCAAAACAGTGCGAAATTAGCAAACACGATGTGATGTGGGAGTGCAGTTGAATTGAATTATATTAAATAACAGGTTCTGAAATTGTACGTACCAAAAGAAGATTTCTGCATGGACAAACAACCAAACATACTTATCGTAATTAAGTTGTAGTAAATACAATACTACCAAAGCAACATGAACTGTGAAATGTTTTATTGTAGTTGATTTTAACATTTAATCAATGAAAGTTTTTATTATATGTTTTGGTTAATAAATATTTTATAAAATCTGATCATTGATAAAAGTTTGGTTTCTACTTTGAAGCTGTGAAGACAACTAAAAGTATGCAAATAAGAAAATTTTAGCCTCAAATGAAATAAAAAATTGGCAAAACATCAAAAAAAGCAAAAAAAAAATTTCAATGAATTATAATGGAAATAAAATGTTTTCACGGTTTCAAATTGGTTCATTCCTCTGAACTGAACGTTAAGCTTATCTGTTTCACATTCACACAAACTCCAACACTGAACTATTTTGCATCGTTCTCCTCAATTTTATTCTATGTTCTCAGTTGATTTACTTTTGAGTTCTTCATTCCTCTGCTGAAGCACAATAATTGTTTCGACAATTTCAACATGGTCTTCCTGGCAACGTCTGATCTGCTATAATAAATTTCTGCTTTCTTGCTCATGTTTCTAGCCAGTTGAATAAATTTCAGTGATTATTTTTATTATTTATCTAAACTACTATTCTATTTCTGCTGCTGCGAGGTATTGCTGTATTTTGCTCGAACGTCATTTTTAATTTTTTTATTTTATTGATTGAGCTTTTATTTCTCTAGATGTCTAGACAGACGTCTGTCCTTTCATTATTATTATTATTATTTCTACTATTATTAAGTGTCTGAACTACTTTCTCTGCTAACAACAATGGGAGGTCATGGCATCATTTCATTAAAAGATGCGACAGAAAAAATGAGACTGAAACTTCGGAACTATTTTAAAACTAATAGCAACAAAGAGATTCAATGTCTTTATAAAGAATCAGCGATCGATTTTATCAAAGTAGATAATACGCTCTTAAAATACGGCCAAATAATGTCGTCGCTTAGTCATTTGGAAGAAAAAAGAATTGAATGTAGCTTAAATCATGTTTTTTCGCTGCAGAGTCAAGGTTCACTAATTTTAAATATAAAAAATTTCATCAAAGCCAACAACATATCCCGTTGGTCAAAGTCCACGGAAAATCTTGCCGGAGTCCTCTACAAATTTGCTAGGAAGTATTTAGTCCAGCAGTTGCCTACTAATGCAAATTTGTTTAGATGGGGTAAAACGCAAAGCCCTCAATGCCCTCTTTGTGATTCTCGACAGACAAATAAGCACGTAGTTTCTAATTGTGGTTCTACATCCGCTCTGGCAAGATATACCGAAAGACACAACAAGATATTGGCCGTGATCATCAATTGGCTGAAAATATCCGCTCCAGCCAATTGCCGCATATTTGCAGATTTAGAGTCTGAGGGTATTCGCCCAATATCTCAATTATTCAACACTTTACGACCCGATACCGCCATACTTCAAAATAACAAAATTGAGATTCTAGAATTAACTGTGTGCCATAAAACCAATCTAGAATCCTCCAGGCAATACAAGAAAAATAAATACTCTAATAATTTGCATTGCTGTTTAAATAAAGACTATGAACATTGTTCAATAGTTATAAACTCATTTGAAATAACGTCTAATGGTTTTTACAATAATTTTAATTTGTCACTGTTTAAAGTTCCATGGGCGCTATCATTTAATGATAAATTGATAAACACTGTTATAAGATTATCGTATGACATTTACTGTGACAGGAACAAGCTATGATACTAATTAAATATATTTCACCGTTCTACACTTAACTTCACAATGAGCAAAATGGTCTTAACCTTTAATATTATTTTTTACAATTTTTAAAAATTTTTATCATTGCGCATTATTTAATTAACATTAACTTATATATATATATATTTTTATCAATGTTTGTTTTTTATGGTGAAAAATAAAAGATGTTCCCATTATTATTATTATTATTATCATTATTATTATTATTATTATTGTTATTATTATTATTATTATTATAGACATCAAAGGTTTGAATTAGATAACTCTTTTAACATTACTGAGGTTCCCGCCAAGTCAAATAACTTTTCTATATCATCTCTTCGCTTATTTTGTACGTATAATTTCCTTCTTTACTTATTTCAAAAACTTTAAATTAACTCTAGTATTTTAGTAAACTTCCATTTTTGTCAAAGCTGTCATTATCATCGATATCCTACTCATAATAATATTCATAATAATCATCATCTTCGTCGTCATCACGTAATTGTCATATCACTTGGAATGATCTGCATTGATTCGACAAAAAGCTTGCAGCTGGAAAGCTCATTTATTTCAAATGCTTGCCCCCTCCTCCTTCATACATCTTCAACATCATCATTACACACACACACACACTCACACACACACATACATATAATATATATGGCAGCGGCCAGGGCAGCGGACGAGAAAATGAAAAAATATGGGAACGCCCTCCCCTCGATGGAATTCTTGCCAATATGTATCGAGGTTCTCGGCCCGATGGACCCCATCACCCTTAAATTTCTTAAGGCAATATGTAAAATGATCAGCGTCAGATCAGGTGACAGCAGGGAACTGTTTTTCGCAACTAACCACATTTCGTGCTTGTTGCAGCGGTTCCTGCGTGTCTGTGTGCTTGAAACTGAATATCCAACTGAATGCCGACATGTGCAATTAACGACAAATCAAAGTGTTAATCCATTTGTTACTTGATGTTTGACGGTTCAGTGTCACTCATCATGTTTTGGTTTTAACATAATATATATGTGTGTGTGTTTGTGTATGTGTGTTTGTGTGTGAACATTGAACATCTTTAGAATTACAATGTTGAGTTCGTTATCTTTGGTCCGAATCAGATCATTAAGTCTGCATTTAAGGCACTGTATCCTCATTAATATTTATTTGGCTCTGAGTCATTAAGTTCGGTCAAAATAATATTAAACTAATATTAAATAATATTTATATATTTATTATTATTATTATAACATAATATATATTTATATATACATATACATATGAGTGTTGATAATAAAATTAATGTTAAGTGACGAGCCATAGAATGAGCGATTTCTAACAGAGCATTGTATGATGGCGAACCAGAACAAAAGATCGTTCGAATAAATGAAGTTACTGATTGAATAAAAAAAACTTCAGTTTTGTGACTACAGCCATACCTAATATGCCGTGTAAGCTACGAATATATAAGAAAATAACAAAAACATTATGGACTGAATGTGATATAAAATCATAAATTTAAAAAGACTAATTTGGAGTGGTATACGGTTAAGACATGACATATATTTCAAAAAACTACAATGAAAGCTAAATCATAGAATTAATCTATGTAATGAAATTTGACGCTTGCTGAACAAATCAGAGTTTGTAAAAAAATTGTAAAAATATTAAGAGAGAACTTTCATTGAGGTAACTTACCTGATCGTCTGAATGCTGTGATTTCCCGCCAACGGAATCTTTTGATCTTTGTTTATTTCTCGCCTTCAAACATTGGGATGAAAAATTTTCGTTATTAAGCAATGGGATTTTTTTAGGTGTTTTAAAACAAATTATGCCATAACTAATAACTATATCTCAATTGTGTTTATTTAAATTCACATTTAAACATTGACAGTTTTTAAACTTTTTTAGGTGGTTTTTGGAAATGTGTTGGAGCATAATATACAAATTTTGTTGGTATTGAGCCACGAGACGTGTTTCAATGCAGTCAGTAATGCATACGTTCCATTACCATCTTTGCAAATTAAAAACTGGACAAACATTGAGAACTATTTTACCTTTGAAGAGCCGCATATGTACTTAATTAGCAAATTTTTTCGACCCGGGGGAAATTTTTTTAATATTTTTGGCTCTTTTTTCCTTGCGGACCGCATAAAATAGCTTAGCGGGTGGTGTTATATTATATAACGCAATGATTAAATCCTAGTTCAAAAATGTGGTTGACAATAACATTAAGTAACATTAACATTATAAATCGTTATTAACATTAACCTATTAACATTATCATAAAAAACATTATTAAATATTTTGTCCATGAAAATAATTTGAAGAAAAAAAACTAATAACAACAATAATGTTGATGTTTGAGTGTTGATGATAGGAGCAATTAAGGAACAATTGATCATTCAGAAGCGTGTCATCCATCATAGCACATTCTCACATTTTATAATTGAATTTTTTTCTACAATTTTTCATTTTTATTAGATATGTTCGTATACATGTGTGTGTTTGTATATATGTGTATAAGAACATTATGCTTAAGTTTGTATGTGTGTGAGTGTGAGTGTGTTTGTGTTTATCTGTTTCTTTGTTTGTCAAATATTAGTACCATCATTATTTACAATTATCAACTGAAAATATTTTTCAAAATTTTTTTGCAAAATTTGAATCTCCAAATAAAATATTTGCATTTTCTAAATTTTTAAAATAAATTATGAACTCCATAGTTTGAAATTAAGAATTATATGCCGTCATCAGAGTGCTTTTGTGTAAAGTTATATTTTGAGGAATGAGTTTCTCTTCACTCGCTCGCCTTGTACATTTCCAAATAAATGCATCAAAATAGGAATACGAATTAAAATCTCTGTGTCACAATTACAAGTACTTCAAATTGCTACTCAGCTAGAAATTTGGTGAAGTACTAAAAAAATCAAGCAACTTCATTCACAGTTGTGTGTAACGGTAACGCAGTGACTGGGTTTGATTGCGAAGAGATTCCAGCCCATGACATGAAATGTGTGTGATGCGCTGTTTAGGTGTATATATACATACACTGTGTGTATGTTGTTTATGTTTTTGAAAAATTTTGAAAAGAGGATAGTAATCAATAAATAAACCATCTTTATCACCATCATGCTAACACTTCGAATAGTTTCGTTATCCTCATCAATCTCATCATCATCTTTATCATCATTCTCATCACCTGTCCCATGCATTGTTGTTCTTCTGCCAGATCCTTCATGTGCTCCCACATCAGCTGTTTGAACTCCTGCTCGTTGCGAGCTCCCAGCAGCCTCAGCCTTAGATCGACGTCGGCAAACAACGTGGCGAACGTTCGGCCCGTTTCCAACGCTGTCTTCGTTCCTTTCTGTTACATGTTTGTTTGTTTGCGTGTTTGTGGCGTTTGTTTGCTTGTTTGCATGTTTGTAGGTTGGGTTTGTTTGTGGTGGGTTTGGTTTTTACGTGTGTTTGTGGGGTGTGTTTGCATGTTTGTTTGTTTGTGGTGAGGTTGGTTTGCATGTTAGTTTGTGGGGTTTGTTTGCCTGTTTGTTAGTGAGGTTTGTTTGCATATTTGCATGTTTGTTTGTGAGGTTTGTTTGTATGTTTGTTCTTTTTGTGTTTGTAGTATGTTAATTGTTGTATAGTTGGTTGTTTGAAGACAACATTAGAAAACACAACGTGTTTTCATTGAAGTTGATGGTAACATGGGCAAGTACCCTGTAAGTTATTAGCCAAAAAGTAACATTCTGCCAACCAACTTCGTTCATTGAGCCACATCACAAATTTGTTTGATACTCTTTTTTTGATTCATTTGTAGTTTTTATGCTACCAAATTCTTTGGTAATGCAGTTTTATATCGACAATGTCAACGTCTTTGTAATTTACTTCAAAAGTATTAACACTATAGCTATTTATTTAGGAAAATAGAGATATAATTTTTTAAACTGCCATAACAGTTTCATCAATTTGAAATGTTGGAACTGGTGACAGCCACCGTTGAAAAAGCAGTGCTGACAGTGGAAAAAAATAAATTATAAAACTTGCGATATCACATCAAATGCAAACAAACCACTGTAACATCATTCGTCACCTCGTTCGTGACGCCATTTATTATGTCACAGTGCAATTTGCCGTAAGATGAGATGGTTGAATGGTTATATGGATAGCTGGTTGCATGGGACCTACATATTCTAATAAGTTAACGTCATCTCTTCAATGAGTTGTGACGTATACACGAGAGGGCGTGCTTAGGGAATAATAAGCAGCTTTTTGTGGAATCACCGGTAGCTATCAGGAGAGTTCTACTAATTATACTTGATACACAATTTCAAAATTGTTCAAAATTTTGTGTTTGTATTCCGCTTTGTTCGTGTGATTCATATAAATATATCTAATAAAAATTTAAAATTTATGTAAATATATTCAATAAAATTTAAATCAAATTCAAAAATTACTTCGAAGTAGCTTCGGTAGGAATACGCCTCGACTGCCTGAACGAAACAAGTCTGAGTGCTTTCATTAATTCAGCGCACGCACGTTCCTTAGATATCGATGCTCATGTAATTATTATACATTTGCATAGCTATGGTTAAACGATTCATTCGGTTTTTGTTATTTCATTAGCATTTATATACCCTGCAATAATTTAGTCTGGCTCTTTTATTTGAATATATTGTTTCAACCATCCAATGCTTGTTCCATGGACAAAATTTTAACTGGACAAACGAATGTGCTTAATTTTCTCGCACTGCTGCTCACAAACTCTAATGTTCAAAATAATATTATTTTCTTGTTCAAGTTCAATTTAGGAAGCATCAACTGTTTTGTTTCCTGAAAAATTTTTTAGGTCAGCTCATACACACATTTCTTGTTATGCATTTCTGAAAATTACGGAGCTGCTTTTTATACACACTGTTCTTTACATAATTACGATTAAACTTTTGTGGTATGCACGCAACGCAATGACAACAACGCAAAAAATGGCAGTCAAACCGTTTGAAATAATTCCCAGACCGAATCGCGTGATCATTTGAATCAAAAGTTATCTGGCAAGTTCAGAAAATTACGCGTTTTGTTTGCATACTTGCATGCATTGCCGAATGTGGATTAACAGTTTTTGGTGACACAAAACTAAGTTAAATCTTGCGGTTAATTTAATGGAAATACTTTTATGCTTTTAAAGTAGCGTTAGTTCACTTAGCCAACATTCTAACATACATTTACTCTTGCAACCACACCACTTTTCACATGATTGTTCACTCATTATGGTAAACATTGATCATCTCACACATTGATCATCTGATGAAGCAATTGAACGACATGACATTCATTCAACAGCCCGCTGAGTGACGGCCAACAGCGAAAGACTGACCTCCTTGGTGCTGGTGACGACGAGAATGATGAACAGCACCTCCTGGCTGGTCCTGCCGAAGTTGGCCGGGTTCCTCAGGCGAGCAATGGCAACATGGCGCCTCTGCACTGAAGAAACCGTGCATCTGATCGTCATTATAATTGAAATTTTAGTTATAATGTAATGACGATAGTGATGACGGTATGATAATCGTGATTATGTGACGATGCGCCAATCATAAAAATGATGAAAATGTTTTGATCAGTGTGAAACATATCCAACAACTCCGACTCCGGTCCCTTAAAAAATTGCCACTCCGACCGATTTCGACACTCTGGTTTTGATGAGCAATTTTGAATTCTGATGAAAGTAGTAACAAAAATGACGACAAGAAAAGAACAACGATGATGCAATGCTGACATGGCTGACGTTAATTCAATGGTTATAAAGCAAAAAGTGGCCATCCAATAAACTTTGAACTAATTGTCATGTACTTGTGCTCCAGATTACCAACAATTTGGCTCATCGGTGTGCTTGCCAACAAACAAAATTTGACATTTGTCGACAATGACCCAATTGATAGCTATGCAATATCAACAGGAAAGTGTTTTAATGCTATCGATCGTTGGTTCGGTTGTTTTTAGATATTGATTCTTTCCAAAAACATTTTCGGATTGGTTGACGGTCACCTTCATTGTTATCAGATTTACAAAAGTAATTATCGACAAAATGTCAACACAAAAATTAAGGCAAAACTGAAAAATCAACGTTATTGCAAATCGATAACTTTATCTAACAAAAATGAAAATGTCACAAAACATATCTACACAAATATATATTGCAAAAATATATGCAATCACATTGCTTGATTTGGCAAAAAAACTGATGCACGAACAAAATGTACACATGAAGAATTATTTCGCGCTTGAATGGATGCCCGTTTTGATTGGAAAAAAAATAAATAGAGAATAAAATATAATGAAATGCATTACAGACTAATGGACGACAAAACTTTTTTAGGTAAACAAATTTTTTCATAATTATTTATTATTTGAACAAATTACTTTAAAATCAGAAAATAACACAAAAAGAAAAATGGAGTAGATTTATTTGGGTTTCAGCGAAGAGAGAACGGGACAAAGTGGAAATGATAACAAATTGGCAGAATATATCAGGCAGGCAGGAACTACAATTAACAGCAACGCCTCCCCACGGCGATTGTATGTAGCTCGTATTTCAATAACGAACATGTTCTTTATATCCGTCCGCACATGAACGAACCAATAAACATTCAAAGAACAAACAAATAAATATACGAGCTTAAACCAACAGAAATATTCGAATGTGATTATGCCTGCCTGTATTCATACAAACCACTCACTGTCCGCCACATCACTGAGACGCTTATTCTCATTTATTAGATTAGGCACTGACAACAACTATACAATTGTTTCGTTTGACGCAACAACAACGATAAAAACAACAGCACAACAACAACGACAACAACAACGACAACAACAACACGAACTTAAAAACAACCAATAACTGAAAGAACTTACAGAACGCAGACCCAGGAAGGATCGTAATCATAACTTCCACAGAAAGTGCTGCATGTACATTGGATGGTCTTGGCTAACTGCTGAGCTGATTGGTTGATCGATTGAATGATTGAACAAAAAAACAAACGAACGAATGAATGAACGAACGAACGAACGAATGAAAGATCGAGTGAATTGTTTGAGAGTTTATTTATTTTTTTTATATTCTTAACGCGACTAACAGATTATTTGCATGATCATAAATATCATTGGGTGTCTGATAAATAAATGAATAAATTAAAACGTTCAAAAGTTGGTAGAATGCCATCGAACGATTGAAAATGCAGGTTATGTTGCGTGCTTTCACGCAGGAGGTTGAAAACATTTTTGTAAGTCCCGCATGGAGACCATGAAATTACTAATATGCAATTTAATTCAATTTAAACACTTTATAATTATATTTATAATATAATTTATAATACATATATTATAATATAACATTGTGAAGTTTTTTTTGGAGCGCATATGAATGAATGTTTCATGTGAGTATGTTGATTGGTTTGGCGCGCTTGCTGTATGGATTGGTCTGGTATGCACGTTGGTAAAACATTGCATGACTTGGTTTTGTATTTATGCCGGTAGAATGTTAGAGTAATTTGGTTTTATGTGAATGTTGGTATGGTACTGCGCGGTATGGTTTGGTATGTTTGAGAATGAATGGTTTCTCAGCTGAATCGGTATGCAAGTGTTTTGGACAATCGTTTTAAGGAGGAAGGGAAAAAAAGAAAAGGAAAGGGTTTGTGTGTTAATAATTAGTTCGATTCCTGCGTGTTTGGGTTTGGCCGTTTTGGTAATTGGTGATAATTCGAACATTGTTCTGCGGGTTATTTTCCTGGATTTCGTTTAGTTATTACTGCTGTTCTGTTGTTGCAAATTGATTTTTATTTCAAATAATGAATTTAGTTGGGGAAACATTTCGAAAACATTTATTTTGCATAGTATCGTAGGGTTGTTTGATTTTATTTTTTATTAATATATTTATTTCAATTAGTTTTTGTTTGTTGTGTTCAACGTCTAAAACATGTCTGAAGAATACTTGTCGGCGGTTAGTAGGGCCAGATTAATCGACTGGCAACAGGTCGCGAAAGCTCTTTGCCCGGCCCTTGTTTTCCGACCCGGAGATGCCCACTCGTGAAGAGGCGAGTCTCGGCCAAAAGCGAGACTGCCTAGGCTGGCGGCGATGTCTGTTGGTGTTCGAGCAGAAAAAGGTTTCCCTTGCGCGACAAAAATTCACAATTTAATGTATATGATTGAATAATAAAAATGCTTGGCATAATGTAATGAATGTTTAATTTGATAGTAGAACAGAAGAGATGATGTAAGAGGAGCTAGCATCATTCGGATTTTAATTTCATTTTATAAGATGGTATTGCACTCTGTAGCAAATTCTGCCAACTACAACTATAACAACTGCATAAAAGATAGTTAGGTGAGTGAATCCAAAAACTTTATAGCAGATAAAACTGTATGAGTTGATAGTTATAGTAACTAGTTTTGTGTTAATAAATTCACCACGCCAATGCAGATAAGCAAAAAATGGACAGATGTATTAGTCGACGAAAAAATGTAAAATAAACAACCAACTTTTTAGCGTGACTTCAAATTTATTTAAATTAAGTTCAACAACTTCTTAAACTGAGATGTCACATTTTTTAAAATTTTAAATGAACTGCAATTATTTGTATGCATTTTAAATCCGACAATTATATAAAGAGTAGTCAGAGAAGTGATTAACGAGTGATAATTAAAGGAGCTGATTTAGACGAGTAGAAGAATTAAAAATAAGCAACTCACAACGTAATGAGATGAAAATATTTATTTAGTCTAAAACAGCTTTTAAAAAGGATAAAATAAAAGCCACACTTATTAACATCAAATGTTGATCATTGATTAAAATTTTTAGATACAACAAGAAATTTATGTCAATTACCACTTTAGATGACTATAATGTAAAAATGCAAAAGTCGATAGTCAATCATAGAGTGAAATTAATTGAATGGAAGGCAGCAAGACAAGTGATTCATTATGTTAATTTGGTGTTGGAACATTTTGAGTAAACCCAGCAACATTTTATTGCGTCTGAAACGAGTTTCAATAAGAATTAACAAATATCTAGCAAAAATGTTTTCTGTACAACTGCGAAACAAACAAATTACTTATTTGTTTTGTTTTTAAATTTTACTTAGACATTATTCTCAGTAAATAATATTTTTTTTCAAAATAACCAAATGCTCACATTGATAACAAAAAGAATGGAAAATGTCACGAAATAGTAATTATGGTCAAAATTATCATCTTCTCAGATCAGTTGATGATTGATTAATTTATTACCTACCTAATCGTATATGGTTTGATCATAGGCTAACATGCATACATACACACACAAGTATCCATAAGATAGACACTGGATAGATAGATACGTAGTAGGTGTTGCGGTTTCCTGTCCAGGACCTATCATGCACAATGCACAATGAATTTGACCCGAGATTACATTTGATAATTCATCATGCCATGTCCTTCTCAACACAAAAACCTTTTAATGAAACTGCGTGTGAACATTCTCACATTTTGAAAGACAAGTTTTGTGGGATAACTAAGTTTTTTTTAGTTATTTCGCAGTTTATATTTTAGTGATAGATAAAAGTCAAATTGTAAGCTGAATTAGTAAAAAAAATTTAAGTGAATTTAAGAAGGTTTGTTTGTCGGCTATTTTTATTTTGGAAAAAATAATCGGAAAAATTATTTTTTGACGTTGCTTATATTCAAAATTGCAAAGAAAAAAATGCTGATTAAATATCAACATATATTTAAAATTAATGAAAATTAATTATTATTGGCCACTGACGTTTCATATTTGAATGAATGTTGCCAGTTACAATGATTGCACGAAAACTTCAACTACAAAATCTTCTAAAAATGCTTATCTCAAATTTATTTAAAAACTTTTGTTTTGTTGAACATAAGTGTTCGTTGATTAAATTTTTCGAATGATTGAAAAAATTGTTGTAATGAAAATTTTTACATGGATTAAAAATTATTATAAGTGCAAATTCCAACAAACGACTGTGCAATTCGATTGCGAAATCAAAGTTGAACATTAATTTTTTTCTGAAAAGTTAATAAATAATTTGTTTAATAATGAAATAAATTCATACACAATAAATCATTTTAATTGAGAAACTTAATAGAATTTAATTCAATAAACATTTTATAAGCAGATTTTTAATTTTTGAAACTCTTTCATCAATCATAAAACAAATCTAATTATTTTTAAAAATTCGAACGAAATTGCACCTCATAACTTTTGAAAAAAAATCGCATCAAGTCATTCACTGCTGTGCTTCTTGTTAACATATTTTATATCCTTCGAAAGAAATTTCAAATATCATTTTTACAAATGTTAATGAAATATCCAATTATGTTAGTTAACCTACAGAAATAAAAAACTAGCAAGAATGTACATAATACGGAACAAAATTTTGAATTCGTTTAAAAGATTCAATCAAAAGTATATAAAACACTTTTTCTACCCAATAAAAAAATTTTTTATTTGTTCATCAAACCATAATAAAATCAATTTCAAATGTAGTATAAACATTTTATTAATTTGAGCGAACAATAGAACCATCATCGCACACGAATTGAAGAAAACCTTTATAATCCAGCAGGACTAGCCAACAGCCAACAACGAAATACAAAACTTAAAACAGATTAAACAAACAAACGAACGAACGAACGAACAAACAAACAGTGAAAACCAACAACACTACGAAAAGGCAACGACAAACAGCAGCCAACCTGCGTCCCTGGTGAAGAGAACCTTCTTGGCCTCGATGTAGGCAGTAGCGCTCTCTTCGTCTCCGAGCAGGTGTTTCAACATGACGTCGAGTATCTCACTCATGTTGTTCTCCTGCATGTCCAACATCAGCTGCGCCTGGTTCAGAAAATGTTCCACATCCAAGTGTGCTCTGATCTCCGCAGCGAAATCTTTCATCGGAATCTTCTCCAGGCGTAGGTAGATCAAACTCAATTCCTCCGACTCATCTGTTATGTTGAGCGGGATTTGTATATTTAAAACTATTTTAAAATTAACGTTTAACGATGAATTGAAAGTTAAATACGATTCTTTATTACAATCTTGTTACATTCAATATACAGTGCCAGAAATAACGCACAACTAAACATATATGCAACTGAAATTAAGTAGTTAAAAATTAACTTACAATATAAAAACATGTGTAAACATCATCCGAACTCAAATTCCACATTTTCATTAAAATTTTAATTAATTAGAAAATTTTATCAATATGTTTATTACAACTTTTCGCTGATTTGAAATCAAGCAGAGCATATCTTCTGATGAGATAAAATAGTTTTGCATCCCTTCAAAAATCAAGCGCAAATAATTTTGTAGAATAACATTGAAGTAATTTTTTATAAAATCTACTATAACTCATTATTATTTTTACAAATAGCGCAAATACACACACACAGACACACACACACACAGACACAGAGTACACACACATACACACACACATTCACACATACACACACATACACATGATGATATGAAACGTAAAAATATTTTCCATCATCTCCAAAATAACTCCAATTTTCCGTTTGTCGCGTTTGCATCTAAAATGGTTATTGTTTATGTGTGAAAATATTTTTGCATGCTATCTTTGAGGCACTTTAAAAAATTTTTTTGCGGTTTTAAACAAAAGTTTATGCAAATATAATCGACTTTATCTACATGTGTGTAATTCAAATGAACGCTTTTAACAGAAGCTAGTGACGCGTTTCACGCACCTCCATTTGTTGCAGTGCGTACATTTAAAAAAAACTTTTGAAAAAATTTTCATTTCCAATAATTTTGTGTTTGCTTTTGTTTGTAGCGGAAGCATTGATGAGTTGTCCCACAAATAAACGAACAATTGCTCGCTCAACCGCATATATCAGCCGCTACTAGATTTTATGGCTACACGCCACACAAGAAGCCATTACATGAATATTTGGGAGGGCTACGTACATGTTCTCTTCACGTTTGCTTACACTCTTCGCGCATAATTACAATTATGTACGTACAGCGAACACCACACGCACACAGGTTTGTATTTACACACGCACGTGCATGCACGCATACAAACATACATACACGCATGCACATATATATATATATATATATATATACACACAAACATACAAAAAGACTACATCCATTCATGCCCACATGCTAACATCTTCTATGGTAGCAGCCGACAACCAACAACATAATTGTTTATGTTTTTTTCAGTCACAGTCAATAAATTTGCGCGTTTAAACTTTCTCCAATGCAGGTCACGTGTGCTGATCTCTCTCTTTCTTCTTCACTATCTCTCCTGTTCTCTTCCTCCTCTTCTTCTTCACTATCTCTCCTGTTCTCTTCCTCCTCTTCTTCTTCACTATCTCTCCTGTTCTCTTCCTCCTCTTCTTCTTCAATATCTCTCTTGCACTTGAATTGCTTTTTTAGGCGCTCATATTTTGAAGATGATTTTGTCATGATGGGAAATGAGTTGGTGAGTGTGACGATGATAATGGTGATGGTTGTGATAATGATGATGATTGTGACGATGAATTGCTCTTGTTGATGTTGGCAATGATTGTGATGGTGAATTGAATTTGTTGATGATGGTGGTGATACTGATGATGATGATATGTAGACTGATACAATTAAAATAAAAAATGGTGAATAGTTCTTTACGTTTTAGACAGCATAAGTAGGTACCAACAAACCTAAATCAGATGTATCATAAATAGACTGTACGATTTGTGGGACTTGCCTTTCATGTTTACCATTCAAGTTAACATGAGTGTTACATTAATTATGCCGTATGTACTTATGTACATGATCTTATGTGATGTAGGGGAGACGGGGGCCGAATGGACCGCTTTTTTTTGTCGCTCACTAAATATTTTTTCTTTGCTCAACAAAATCAGCTATCGCTATTTTAATAACTGATCTTGATTTGTCATTATCTTGCACAGTTGACGGTATTTTTTTAATATTTCCAAATAACGTAATTTTTTTATAATTTAATTTTTAAGGTGGGTTGTTCCAATTTTTTTGGTGGTCCATTCGGTACAATAGCGGTGTACTGGATGGACCGGGTAAAGTACCAAATGGACCATTAAAGAATAGCAACAAATTCATGGAAATAAACACATTTGAAGTATTTTTAATTGAAACAAAAATTGAAATAATAAGATTATTCATGTATGCAAAATTCGCAAATGTAATCAACTGCACTAGAAACACTCGTGCAGAGCTCGTGAGCCCACTTGGCACAATTTCTGCAACGAAACCACATTTCGTTGTCTCGGCCAGCCTCACCACACATGACGCATATGTCCTTCTCAGCATATAATTGTCTTTTAATTTTATTTTTTTTTGTTACTCTGTTGCTCTCTTCGGATATTTGATTTTTTTTATTTTGTTGCAATTTCCTTTTGTTCATGATGGGACGTTTTTTTATCTCTTCACGAGTTTGCTGCACAATAATCCACAAGACATTTCTCTTCAGAATCTGTAAAGATTTTCGTAGAGACATTTTGGTAAGGTTTTGTGACATCG